GGCTAACACCAATAAAATTAAAAACATAATAGGGGAAAAAGAGAAGGGGGGACCAATTGAAAATGCAGGTTAAAATGCAATTTAAAATGCAGCCTCATTTTAAAGTAGCTGATAAATCAAGACCATAAGGGGAGGGAAACATAAGGGTCAGACCGAGTCCAAACCAAAGGCCAGGAGGAAAAGCTCCGTCTTGCAGGCCCTGCGGAAAGATGTCAAGTCCCGCAGGGCCCTGGTCTCTTGTGACAGAGCGTTCCACCACATCGGGGCCAGCACTGAAAAGGCCCTGGCTCTAGTTGAGACCAATCTAACCTCCTTGAGGCTCGGGACCTCCAAAGTGTTGCTATTTGTGGACCTTAAGGTCCTCCGTGGGGCATACCAGGAGAGGCGGTCCCGTAGGTAGGAGGGTCCTAGGCCGCATAGGGCTTTAAAGGTCAAAACCAGCACCTTAAACCAGACCCTGTACTCCACCGGGAGGCAGTGCCTTGCTGTAGTTCTGATCCAATTGGCCTCTCTCACACATGCACACACACACATCCCTCTGCTATTTGCAAAGGGATATTCCCATTGCAAATAGCAGACATGGGGGGGGGGAGATTCTGACTGGACCTGCAAAGTGGGGGGTGTCATTGAAGGTTCCCTCCTCTGCTACAGACCTGATCTAGTTCAGACCCCATACAGACTCCTGCTATTTATTTTTGAAAAATAACCACCACAAAAGCATTGCAAGCCATCCATGGGTCCTGGGGTGAAGGGCCAATAATAAATTGAAATAATGATTATAATAATACATGGTCCTGGGAAGCGAGGGGATCTTTCCCAGTCTAGCCCTCTGATCCTTTTAACTAGGGGCACCTAGTAAGCATGTAATCTCAGAATGGCTGTCACCCATCCAGTCGTGTCTCATGAGTTGAGTCCAACCCCCTGCCAAGCAGGAAACACCATCAGAGCACTCCTGACATATGGTTGTCAAGCCTCTGCTTAAAGACCTCCAAAGAAGGAGACTCCACCACACTCCTTGGCAGCAAATTCCACTGTCAAACAGCTCTTACTGTCAGGAAGTTCTTCCTAATGTTTAGGTGGAATCTTCTTTCTTGTAGTTTGGATCCATTGCTCCGTGTCCGCTTCTCTGGAGCAGCAGAAAACAACCTTTCTCCCTCCTCTATGTGACATCCTTTTATATATTTGAACATGGCTATCATATCACCCCTTAACCTCCTCTTCTCCAGGCTAAACATGCCCAGCTCCCTTAGCCGTTCCTCATAAGGCATCGTTTCCAGGTCTTTGACCATTTTGGTTGCCCTCCTCTGGACACGTTCCAGTTTGTCAGTGTCCTTCTTGAACTGTGGTGCCCAAAACTGGACACAGTACACCAGGTGAGGTCTGACCAGAGCAGAATACAGTGGCACTATTACTTCCCTTGATCTAGATGCTATACTCCTATTGATGCAGCCCAGAATTGCATTGGCTTTTTTAGCTGCCACGTCACACTGTTGGCTCATGTCAAGTTTGTGGTCAAGCAAGACTCCTAGACCCTTTTCACATGTACTGCTCTCAAGTCAGGTGTCCCCCATCTTGTATTTGTGCCTCTCATTTTTTTTGCCCAAGTGCAATACTTTACATTTCTCCCTGTTAAAGTTCATCTTGTTTGTTTTGGCCCAGTTCTCTAATCTGTCAAGGTCGTTTTGAAGTGTGATCCTGTCCTCTGGGGTGTTAGCCACCCCTCCCAGTTTGGTGTCATCTGCAAATTTGATCAGGGTGCCCTTGAGTCCATCATCTAAGTCGTTGATAAAGATGTTGAATAAGACCGGGCCCAAGACAGAACCCTGTAGCACCCCACTAGTCACTCTTCTCCAGGATGAAGAGGAACCATCAGAGCAGTAGGACACCTGCACTGAATGCAGAATGAAAAAGTTGAAAAACATCTTCATGTATGCGACAACGGCCGTAAGAGTTCTGGTAGCACAAAGATGGAAGACTGAAGAAACCCCAACTAAAGAATCATGGCAAGAAAAATTGATGGACTATGCAGAACTGGCAAAACTGACATATAAGCTACGGAACAAGGATAACTGTGACTTTAAGGATGAATGGGAACCCTTTACAAAGTATCTGAAGACACAACAAAGCGAACTGGACTCCTTGGCAGGTTTTGAATAAACGTTCACAAACTTTTTATTGATTATAATCAGCTAAATAGTTTGAGGATCTATATAACTCTGTAACATGCAGAAAACAGCATTCTTAGAGAAACCAAAGGCTGGAACTAAGAGAAGTTGGGGGTGGGTGGGTTTTGTGTGGGAGGGGGGGAGGGAGGAAAAATGGGGGGAAGGATGATATGTTTTTGGATAATATGTCTTGTTATAATTTTGAATTAAAAAAAATTAAAAAGAAAAAAGAATGCAGAATGTCCCAGGTTCAGGGCACACAGATATCAGAAGAAGAAGAAGAAGAAGAAGAAGAAGAAGAAGAAGAAGAAGAAGAAGAAGCAGCGGCCTTGTCATTGCTCCTGTCAGTCCACCAGCACCAATTCAGCGAGGAGTCTGCCCGCTGTGTCTCTGCACGATTCACGGTTCTGGCCTTGTTTCCTCCCAGTCAGCTGCAGACCGGTGTGAGTCGCTGTGCTCTGCTTCCAAGCCAGAGCCAAGCTTGGAAAAGCAATTCACAGGGAAACACAGGCGGGCGCGGGCGAGGCAATCTGATTTCCTCACCCTAAAAAGAAAAAGAAAAAAAGAAAGCTTATCAGAGCAGTCCTCCCTTCCTCATTGGCGTGGGCAAAGGGTGCTTCATGTACGGTAAGAAGCACGGTCCCCACCCACGTGATGGGGAGAGCCCTCGCTTGCCCTTCCTCCTCCAGTTCACCTCCTTGGCAGAACTTTAGATGTTCACGCAGAGAGCACTTGGCTCTGAAGGTGGCGGTTAACCCCTTCGCCTCCAAGGTGGCTGCCTCTCCTCCCTCGGCCAGCAGGGGGCTCCGTTCCCTAGCCGCCAGCGACCTCGCCTGCCCTTTGGACCAATTCTGGGGGAATCCCGTTCAGTTTTCCCCTCCCTTCCCCAACCGCGAATGACTCGTCACTTGCGCAGCCGTTCCGTGCAGCTCCGGAGCGCCGCTGCGCCCTCTGCGTCCTCTGGGAGAACAACCGGATCGCCCCGCATCCTCCTTTCCAGCTAACTTCTTGCTTCTTCCTGCCAACCCACGCGACGCGGTGCCTCTCCTGCTTCAGCCGGCAGGAAAAGGCCAGGTTGCCACCCAATTTTGCCCCTGGCGAAGCGTCTTTTCTCTCCCTCCCACCCCACGCCAAAGGAAGCGGCGCGCCTGCGAGATCTCCGCGTGGCAGGCTGATTTTAAACGAAGAGGAGCTGCAGGGCTGCCACCTTTTCTCCTTGCTCCTGCTCCTGTGCGTTTAACAGCAGCCTGCAGCGCAGAGATCTGGCAGGCGGAACTTTTCCTCGCATGGAGAAAGACGCTCGATCTGGTAGATTTCTCCATGCCAGGCAGAAATCCAGCCCACCCCTAAAGATGGTGACAACCTCGCCTCGGAGTTATCAAGAGAGCAACGTTATGCCACCGAAGTTAAAAAGCCAATGCTCGTGTGAAGTGGTTTTTATGCTTTGTGGGAGGGAAAATTATTATTTTAATCGAGGTACAACTTACAAGCAGGTAGAATTTTAACAGGTGCATCTTGCCCCATTATCACTATATGCTGGGGAGAACGCTGTTAATCTGCCAGATTTTGTTGGGGGGGGGGCAGAACCTGAGTTAGTTATGTACAGTTATGCCCCCCTACGCCCAATAATAGCATATTGTGGGGGCACAAATAAGCCCTGCCCTGCAATAATCGAGCACATGACGTGGTGTACGGACCCCATTTGAATGGCAATGGCCATCAACAGGGGGGGGGGAATATTTTATTGCTGTATTTTTTTTAACACTCGATTGGGAGCTGCCCAGAGTGGCTGGGGAAACTCAGCCAGGTGGGCGGGGTAAATTATTATTGTTGTTGTTGTTGTTGTTAGGGAAGCCGAAGACCCCCTCGGCCCCAAAGAGCTGGCTCCTAAAAAGGTAAAGGTAAAGGGACCCCTGACCATTAGGTCCAGTCGTGGCCGACTCTGGGGTTGCGGCGCTCATCTTGCTTTATTGGCCGAGGGAGCCGGCATACAGCTTCCAGGTCATGGGGCCAGCATGACTAAGCCGCTTCTGGCGAACCAGAGCAGCGCACGGAAACGCCGTTTACCTTCCCGCCAGAGTGGTACCTATTTATCTACTTGTACTTTGACGTACTTTTGAACCGCTAGGTTGGCAGGAGCAGGGACCGAGCAACGGGGGCTCACACCGTCAGGGGGATTCAAACCGCTGACCTTCTGATCAGCAAGTCCTAGGCTCTGTGGTTTAACCCACAGCGCCACCCGCGTCCCCATAGTTGGCTCCTATGTAACATAGTTACATATATAACTATGTGTACATAGTTGTACATAAGTACATATATGTACATATATATGTAAGTATATGTACATAGTTGGCTTCTATGGAACGCTTAATGCCAAAATGGGCTAATAAGCGATTTACAAAAATCTAAAAACCAAAAACATTAAAATGTGTGATTGCACAGCGGTGGGGAGACGCAAACTAAGGCTACGAGCCCCGGAGGCCACGAGCCCTGCCTGCATGACCGGAAGCAGGAACGCTTGTGAATACCCGTTGCTGGAGAGCGCAGGAGGGAGAAGGCTCTTGTGCCCGGGTCCCGCTTGCGGGCATATCACGGGCATCTGATTGGCCCTACAGGATGCTGGACCAGATGGGGCACTGGCCTGATGGTCCATCAGGGTTCTTATGACTGCAGGACCAGTAATTCCAGAACCGAACCTATCCTTAAGTAAAAACCACTGAGCCACGCAGACTCATTCATCGCTGGGCGCCTTTCTCTCATTCCCTTGGCCTCTTCCCGAGGAAAGAGTTAAGCGCCCCGTCGCCTCCTAGCCCTGGCGAGGGGCGGTCGCACTCCTTGCCCTTCCCCTCTGGGGCGTTCCCGGCTGGGAGGGGAGAAGTCCGGGAAAAGGGCCGCAAAAGCGAAGCGAAGCGCCTCCCCGCCCCCCGATCCCGCTCGCCTCTCCGCCTGGGGAGCTGGCAATGCGCCCTGGGCGCACCTGGCCTCTTTGGCAATGCGCCCTGGGCGCATGGCGCGCAGGGCTCCCCTGGCCGTTGTGCGCCTGCCGGGGGAAGGAGTTTCGAGAGCGGGCCGGCGGCCAAGAAGAGGAGGAGCTGTAGGCGGAACTCCCCCGGGGAGGGGAGGCCGGTAAGAGGCGTCTGTGAAAGTCCCTAGTATTCAGCTGAGCCGACGGGGAAGTCCCGGCTTCCTCTACCGCCGAGGGTGGGCGAAGCAGCGGGTGTCACCGCCGCTCCTCGGGATTCACTCGTGGGCGCCCGCGGGGCACTGAGGGCACTGCCATCGCCACCCAGACCGTCGAGTTTGGGCGGCGGGGGAGCACTTCCAGCCAGGAAAAAGAAAAACAAGAGAAGAGAATTGGCAAGGGACGGAGCGCGGAGACCGGGCGCGGCTTGGCTGGTGACTCCTTTCCCCGGAATCCAGAAAGCGGACGAGGAGGGTGCGGGTGGGGTTGTGACCTTCCTGCACCCCCCCCCCTCGGCTCTCTCCCTGCTGCTCTCGGAAAGGACTGCCTGCCGGCTTCCTGAGCATGACACCTCACCCACTGCCCACACCCTGTGAGCAAAGCGCTCAGGTGTGATCACATGGCGCGTCGGTGGAGGTAGCCGGGCCATCCATTCTTCCGAGCCTATGGAAAGGGATTTGCAGCGTCCGTCGGAGGGCGCTTGGAAAGCGGCCGCCGTCGGAAACTGAGAGCCTCCCCCAAGCTGCCTTGGGTGAGCGGGTTCCCTGGGGGCTTTTGGTTTGCGAACATGAGCAGGTGATGGTGACTTTCCGACTGCCCGCTCAGCAGCACCCGGGAAAGCTGACCAGGTGGACGCCTCCCGCTCCACCAGCCCTTGACCCAGCTCTGGAGCCGAAAGCGAACCCTGCCCGGGAGTCCCTGCCCGGCGACGGCAAGGAGGATTTGGCAAACATGGCCGGGGAGCTACCTGTGGACTTGAGCACCTGGCGGAAAGGGGGCAGCCAAGGCAGAAGCGTCGCCCCCGACGGAGAGGTTTCTTTGGACGCCTCCGGGAGGCGGTTGCCTACTTCCCGGGAGCCCGAGGAAGCCCCGAGTGCCGTCTGCCAGCCCGGCCCCATCCTTCCAGGAATGCGGAGCACGGCTTCTCCCCAGGCGGGGCTGGAAGGGGAGAAGAAGGCCAAGACGTGCTTGCCCTTGCGGAAACGCCCGTATGTCGTGCCGGGGGCAGATGGGGACGCCCAGGGGCCTCTGGCTGGCAAAGTCCCCAAGACGGAGAGCAGCGAGCTGTGGGGCTCCCCCTTCAATGGTTACCACTCTCCGTATATCTCCGTCAGCTACCCAAGATTCCCAGCTGCGTATTACTCAGGTAAAGAGAAGGCACGCTCTCTGGAATGCTCTATCCCCGCTCAATCTTCTTCCGCCAGCAGCTGATTTTTCTACCTCTCCATCCTTAGGGTTTTTTTGCAGCCAACTTCCTTCCCAATCACTTGGCACCCATCCGCTTGCCTTTCCGAGAGTGGCTCACCTGCGGCGCTCTAGATCTCGATGGACCCCATCATCTCCGGATTGTGTTGGCCAGGGCCAGTGGGAGATGGAGCCCCACAACGTTTGAGGGCCACAGGTGACCCACTCCTGGTTTGCATCGTCCCTTTTGTGATCCAAGGGCCCCACTTGGTAATTGAGGCAATGGAAGGGCTTTGGACTCGCCCAAAAGTTTTTTGTTTCGGGGTTGTTGTTTTTTTAAAAAAAACCTTTCCCAGCTGTAGGGGTCAAGAAGAGGAAGGCCTGCAAGGAGGAAATGAATCTGTCAGGCAGGTGTGGCAGCCAGACGGAAGGGAGGTCTGCGAAATGGGTGAAATGGAGATGTTGGTGCCTGCCTTGGTCCCGAGAACATAATCTCTGAATCGGGAAGTCCCCTTGTGTGCATTGCACCTCAGCCCTGAAAATGGCTAGGTGGCTGTAGCAAGCTGCTCCTGGCCTGCAGTGAAGAATATTATTATTATTATTATTATTATTATTATTATTATTATTATTATTTGGTCCTATAGCACCAAGGCTGCAGGTTCAATCGCTGTATGGAACAGCTGTATATTCCTGCATTGCAGGGGGTTGGACTAGTCAGGGTTTCCCAAACTTGGGTCTCCAGCTCTTTTTGGACTACAGTTCCCATCATCCCTGGCCACTGTTCCTGCTAGCTATGGATGATGGGAGTTGTAGTCCAAAAAAACAGCTAGAGACCCAAGTTTGGGACTACATGGTCTTCAGGGTTTCTTCCAGCTCTAAAATTCTATGATTCTATTCCTATTAATTTTCTTTCTGCCCTTCCTCCCAAAGGTGCCCAGGGCAGCAGATATAAAATCATTAAAAGATATAGAATCATTAAAACATCTTGATGCAGTACAGGTGCTGACTGGGAAAGATCTCTTGTCAAAAGAGCCTACCTTCAGGTTGTTGTAGGCGTTGGCGAGCTGGAGTGCTCTGCAGAACGCATGTGCTGTAGAAACGCCTGAAGTATTTTATTATTATTATTTATTATGAGTTGTTTGCCAAGCTAGTGGCTTGGAGACGACAAAGCTTCTGAGCACAACAGAAGTCTTCGTCAGGTGTGAGGCCAGCACAGGCGCCAGGTAAATTGAAGCCCTCTCCTCAAGTGGGGAATCCGGACTTCACGCCAAGTTTGGTCAGAATTGTGGCATCTGTGGCATCGGGAGAAGCACACCTGTGGCAGTTCTAGATGCTCAGGCTTTACTTCTGCCTGTGGTGCTATTGTGGCCCGAACCCTGAGGTGCCCCAGAGTGTCTCCATCTAAGGAGCATCTAGGAAGCTCACCTTCTCCCTTTGAAACCACTCCCTTCCTTGCTGCCCACCAGGTGTGGAAACTCTGAATTTCGCCTCAGGCGGCAAATAAGCAAAGACCGTCCTAAGATGCAGCGCAAATGCGGCCAGACCGAAACCAAGCACATCTCATTGCATGCAGCCCACATCCGCACAATACATTTAAAGCACTCTTTCAGCACCGTTAACAAACTACAGCTCCTATAATTTTGGGGGGGGGAAGCATTACAAAGTGGTATAAATAGTGCTTTAACTGTATGGTGTAGATTGGACCCTTTAATTGCCGTTTTCTGCTGCCGTTCCACCCAGTTTGACCAGAATGAGGAAATCTGAGCTTTTTAGCAGAAGAACCAAGGGGGGGTTTTTTGGAGAGGGGCAGTTTCCTCCTCTCTATTTTTAAAACAAATCAAAAGGATCACCCCTGTCTTCGGTTGTTGTGAGGTCTAAAATGCATCTGCATATACAAACAGCGATAACACAGCACCCTTTAAAATGTGCTGCCTTTGGAGGAAATAAAATGCAACCTTGGAGCTTTGTTGTCGCTCTTTCCGTTTGCGCCCATTCCCTCTGCCACCACTACTGAGGCTCAAAACAGCATTCCTTGCTCCTGAAGAGGCTGGCGACGGGCAGAGCTCAAGGAAAGCCTTCCAGTGAACTTACCAATGAGGGGACTAGGAGTCCCGGATGCCTGGGTTCTTTTAGGGTCGGCTTTGCGTCTCATTCCAACCCCTCCTTTCTCTTTTTCCCCACCTCCCCGTTTCAGGTTTGGCCGGCCCCTTCCTCAGCCCCGAGATGTCGCCGCTTTTGCATCCCGTGACCCCCAACCCAGTGATGAGGGTCCCCACCCCTTACTCTTTCCTCTGCCCCATGGAGGCCCAGTTGGCCCTAGACGTTGCCACAGCGACCAAGCAAGACGAGGACGGAGACACGTAAGGAGAGGGAGAAGCTGGGTGCTCGAGGGGGGAGAGTTGGAGGTGCAGGAGAAGCCGGGAAGGATTGGGGCCTGGCAGGCAATGGGAGGGAGCTTCAGTTTTGAGGGTCGATTCTGAGAAGGCATGTGTGCAATACCTGGGAATTTATAATTAAACAGCAGCTGCCAAAAGGCAGCTTGCACATGCTCAGAGGTCTTCCTTGTTTCTGATCTTCCCATCCCGGTACTGAAGTCTGAGTCATGGGTGGAAGTTGAATCTTGCCTCTAGATTCAGTTTCCATGGTGGGGCTGAAGAATTTGAGGCATCATTTGAGGAGGCCGAAGAGGGCAACTGCCAACACCCCATATTTCACCCCACATGCAAATGGTTGCTTTGTGGTATCTATCTCTCTTCGCTGGTGACCAGCTGTTTGCAGATTCTGGTTGTGGGGAGAGGAACTAAGCAGTTTCCCCTGCAAATGCCATGACCCACCCCAATGCGTTTGCAGAACACACAGTTCTAGCCTCAGTGACTATTGGTGTAATCTGTGAAATGGGCCAATGCACTACCGAAGCCAACAGCACACAGCCCCTTTGTTTCAAAAAAGGAAACAAGCAGCCGTTGGTTATTCTGTACAGACCTTTCTATAAAAAGGAGCAAAACTGCAGCAAACACATTTAAAAACACACTTTTTTTCAGGGAAGGTAATTTGACTTGGAAGGTATCCAAGATTGAGCCTTCTGGAATGTTTCTGCTGTAGATTTGAACCTGGGTCTCCCAGGATGAAGAAATCCATCCTTTGCATAATCAGCCCACACCAGCCTTCCGTAACCCTCCAGATGTTTTGAGCCACAACTCCCGCCAACCCCTGATGTGCGGAATTGTGTTGCCGCTTCATCAGGGTGGCCGTTTGCTTAGGCAAATTGGGGGGGGCGGGGGGGGAGAGCCCTGATTAGACACATTCCTGGTGGGTGCAGCCTGCCGGCGGCTGTCCACCGCCACAGTAGCTAGGTTGAGCTTCCATATCCAAAAGCAGTTTACCCCATCTCTAGGGCCAAACTGCAGGAGCCTGGCTCTTTCAACCCTGGGTGGTTGGAAGGATCACGGACTTAGCCTAAGATGTACAGGTAACGCTCTTTCCTTCTGGTTTAGGTTTGGACATTTGGAGAGGAAGGCCTCTCCGTCTTTCCCCCCTCCTCTCGCTGAGCAGCTTTGTTTAACCGGAGCCAAGTGCAGCTGCCAAAGGGGAATCCCCTACCCAAGCTACACCCCTCTCTCTTACACACACCCTGACTTCCTCCCCGTCTGCTGACGTTTGCCCTGCTGTGTAATTGTTGGCAGTCCTGTCCCTTTTCCTGGAATGGGGCGAAGGGGAGAAGTGACCCCCGCCCCTCTCTCCTCCTTAAGCTGCCCCACATCCTTCTGAGCTGCAGAGACCCGAACCAGGGGTTGCTGTTCTCCTCCTTCCTCCTCTCCGCCTGGGGGGGGGGGCTGGCTCCTGCGGTGAGCCCTTGAGGCTCCGTTAGCGAGACAGGAAGCGGAGGTCAGGGCTCGGCTTACTGGAAGCCGGTGCCCTGGGAGCCCTTCCCGCTGCCTGTGGGCTTGGCCCCAGACAATAAGGCGGTTTCGTTTCATCGCAAGCGGGGAGAGAGGCAGCTTCTGCGAAGTCAGGTGGAGCCCAGGGCTGCTCTGCGGATAGGTAGCAGGGGGGCGTTGAGACTTTGGACAACCGAGAGCGAGAGCTTTGGCCGGGAGTGAAATAGGGAGGGGGCTGCAAGCAGGGAGACCCCCTTAATCCCACACGTGCCCCTTTATAGAGGGTTCAGACCAGGGCCTTGCAGAGCCAGGCAGAGGCCCGGGCCAGGTAGATAATGTGCCCCCCTTTTTTTTTTACCCTGGGGATAACTGAAGTCTTAGAAATAAGTATAGAAATAATTTCCACAAAAGTTATGCTGACAAATCATTTTATTTCAAAGCATGAACCGTTTCTGCATATAAAGACAAAATGGAAAATATAGATACAGTGGTACCTCGGGTTACATACGCTTCAGGTTACAGACGCTTCAGGTTACAGACTCCGCTAATCCAGAAATAGTACCTTGGGTTAAGAACTTTGTTTCAGGATGAGAACAGAAATTGTGCAGCGGCAGCAGCGGGAGGCCCCATTAGCTAAAGTGGTGCTCCAGGTTAAGAACAGTTTCGGGTTAAGAACGGACCTCTAGAACGAATTAAGTATGTAACCAGAGGTACCACCGTATACAATAGTGCTTTTTAAAAATACATAGGGAAAAGGGTTATTTTAAGTACAATGGTACTTCGGGTTAAGTACTTAATTCGTTCCAGAGGTCCGTTCTTAACCTGAAACTGTTCTTAACCTGAAGCACCACTTTAGCTAATGGGGCCTCCTGCTGCAGCTGCTGTGCCGCTGGAGCACAATTTCTGTTCTCATCCTGAAGCAAAGTTCTTAACCCGAGGTACTATTTCTGGGATAGCGGAGTCTGTAACCTGAAGCATATGTAACCCAAGGTACCACTGTATGTGTTGGTTGTGCTATTAAGAGGCAATATTAAAAACAGCTTAAAACGGCACCCAGTCACAGAGATAAGGTGCGTCCTAAAAACTTACATTTCATGCCATGGGTGATTTAGCTGAGATTTCTGCATCTCGGGGGTTGGGCTGGATGACCCTTGGGGTCCCTTCCAAGTGTGAAAAGCCCAGGTATAGGGTTTCTTGTACAGTGGTACCTTGGGTTAAGTACTTAATTGGTTCCGGAGATCCGTTCTTAACCTGAAACTGTTCATAACCTGAAGCACCACTTTAGGTAATGGGGCCTCCTGCTGCTGCCGCGCCAACGGAGCATGATTTCTGTTCTCATCCTGAAGCAAAGTTCTTAACCCGAGGTACTATTTCTGGGTTAGCGGAGTCTGTAACCTGAAGCATATGTAACCCAAGGTACCACTGTATGTGTTGGTTGCGCTATTAAGAAGCAATATTAAAAACAGCTTAAAACGGCGCCCAATCACAGAGATAAGGTGTGTCCTAAAAATGTACATTTCACGCCATGGATGAGTTAGCTGAGATTTCTGCATCTTGCGGGTTAGACTGGATGACCCTTGGGGTCCCTTCCAAGTGTCAAAAGCCCAGGTATAGTGGAGTGTATAGTGTATAGTGAAGGTGCTTCTGGGTGCAGGGAGCTCCACAGCTTGGAAGCTGCTGTTCCAATCCACCCCACCTTCAGTCCCAATCAACTTTTCTCACGTGCCCAATGCAACCTCTGCCAAAGTGGTGCCTCCAGGTGGCTGATGGGAGTTGTAGTCTGGAAGGCGCCAGGTTAGCAAAGCTTTGCAGACCAGGAGGGGAGGGATCTCTGGTCTAATGGATTCGCAGCTCATCTCTCTGTCCCGTTCCAGGCCTCTACACATCGCTGTGGTTCAGGGGAATCTTCTGGCCGCTCGGCGCCTGATTGCTCTTTTCCACCAGGGGAGGCAAAGCCTGGACACCTTCAACAACCTGCGGCAGGTAAGTGGGAGCCGTGGGTTAGGGAATGCTGTCGGTCCATCATCCAGAGAGAGGCAGTGTGGTGTAGGGGTTAGAGTGTTGGACCCTGACCCGGGAGACCAGGGTTCGAATCCCCACTCAGCTATGGAGCTGGTTGGGTGACCTTGGGCGTCACTCGCCCACGGCCTGACCTACCTCACAGGGTTGTTGTTATAGGGTAAAATAGGGAGGGGAACTATGCATTCTCTTTGGAGGAAAGCAAGGCGAACGGAAATGCGAAAAATAAATAAATCCCACCGTGGCCACCAAGAATCTTAGCATAGAGGATGTGAAGGCAATCGTACCTTGTTGTTTGTCCGCAGCACCTGATATTTTGAGGTACAGTGGTACCTCAGGTTACATACGCTTCAGTGTAAAATACGCTTCAGGTTACAGACTCCGCTAACCCAGAAATATTACCTCGGGTTAAGAACTTTGCTTCAGGATGAGAACAGAAATCGCGCGGTGGCAGCAGGAGGCCCAATTAGCTAAAGTGGTGCTTCAGGTTAAGAACAGTTTCAGGTTAAGAACAGACCTCCAGAACGAATTAAGTACGTAACCAGAGGTACCACTGTACACTGCTCCTGGACATGGGGCTTTGCTTTAGCAGCAAGTTTGGGAAGACTTGGAGGGCTTCTCCATCCGAGCCCTCACAGCTTGGGGAAGCGATTGCCTCTCTCTTAGGCCACGGGGAGAAAGTTTCCATCTGGCTTTTCATTCTTCGCATCAATGTGGGCGGCCGAATGTTATTGTAGGTCTCAGGCTGGAAAAGTGGGGAGAGGAATAATAGCAACCTGCCTTATACCAAGGCCACATTCACCCCAGACATCGAAAGCACTGGGATACCACTTTAAACAGCCATGGCTTCCCCCAAAGAACCCTGGGAGCTGTAGCTTGTTAAGCCCTGTCCAGAGACCTCCGGTTACAATCCTCAGCCTTGTTTCGCAGTCAATCCTGCTTCCCAAGGAACTCTGGGAATTGTAGTTTTAGAGAATGGAATCAGGTATCTCCAAACAACTCTCAGCACCCACAGCAAACTACAGCTCCCAAATTTTTTTTTCCTGGGGTGGGGGCTGTTTAAAGTGGTTCATAGTGCCAGGGCTGACCCAAAACAATTTGGCACCTGAGGCAGAGCCCAAAATGGCACCTCTCTCCCTGCCAGGGAAGAAGGGGTGAAGGAAGATCTACATCAGGAGCAAGGGGGGGGGAGAAAGATGGACATCGGGGCTTTGCCGCCCCAGTGGATCTTGCCACCTGAGGCAGTCGCCTCCACTTGTCTCTTGGGTGGGCAGGCCCTACATTAAATAGTGCATTAACCTTTCCTGGCCTAACCTTTAGCCCTGGCTAAAGTTCTACATCAGGATCTGCTGTCCCAGCGGACTCTGCCGCCTGAGGCGGTCGCCTCACCTTGTCTCTTGGATGGGCCGGCCCCGCACAGTGCTTTAAATGCACAGTGCAAACTGGGGCCGAGTCCGTCTAGCTCAGTTTTGCCTGTGCATTGACTGGCAAAGCCGTGGCTCTCCAGGGTTTCAGTTCTCAGCCCTACCCAGAGACACTGGGGGAATGAACCGCGGGACCTTCTTCATGCAAAGCAGAGGCTCCGAACCACGGAGCCATAGCCCTTCCCCCTCCAGGAAGTTTTAGAGTGTGATCAGGTCTTGTGCATCAAGGGAGGGAGAGAGAACAGGTTCCCCCACTCTTCAGGGCTTCTGGTAAAGCTGGGGTATTCTGGATCCAGACCTTTAGAGGCCCTAAGCAGTTAAAAGATTTTGGTGCCCCCATATACAAGTTGCAAGGTTCTAATTTGGTTGTATTCCAAGGTGAATGTATTTTTATTTTTTACCAGTCACCAAAACACAAACAGTGAAACCCCCCAGGCAGCTGATACATTGGGTATACAATATTCAATAATATACATATTCAATAATAACATATTCAAATCAACCATATGTACACTTCTATATACACTCCTCCTTCCACAAGTGTTATTTCACTTTTAACATTTTAATTGCCCCAAATTGTTCAAACCTACTCAAATAATTCAATATCTTCTCAAACCAATCCTCCTCTTTCTCAATGACCTTAAACCCTTTCATTCTATGTATCTTCACAGTTAAATATTCTAAAATTATAATATTCAGTTTTTTCCTCCATTGGTTCACCCCTAACTCTTCTGCATTTTTCCCAATTACTCGCTATGACCTATCTGGCTGCAATTACCATCAGTTTTACCCATTTGCATTCCTCTTTTGTTTTTAACTCGGTACTACTCAGGGTAATAAGAACCATTAATTTAGTTATTTCCACGTTCCTTCCCACAATTCCCAATCTGTTTCCCGATCTGTTTCCAATCTATACCAATCTGTTTCCAAAATTCATTAAGATGAATGTATATCATCAACCTCTAGCTGGGATAGCTCTGTCAATAGAGCAGGAGACTCTCAATCTCAGGGTTTTGGGTTCCAGCCCCACATTGGGCAAAAGATTCCTGCATTTCAGGGGGTTGGGCTAGATGACCGTCAGGGTCCCTTCCAACTCTATGATTCTATTTTTACTATTTTGTTGTTGTATGTATGCACGCATGTGTATAAGTATGTAATTTTTTTCACTTATTGTGGGAGCCATTTTTTGGTGGGACCTGGTTCAGACGCACCCCGGTAAATCCAGCAAATTGAAAATTTCTGTGCTGCCCCCATTGATGCCCTAAGGGCGTCCTTATTTTGCTGAATGGTTCATCCAGCCCTGGGTGAAGAGAGAGCGAAAGAGGAAATTTAGGGGGGGGGCAGCAGAGAGACGAGGAAAGGGGATGTTTTCCTACCACAGGATCCATTTCCTTTAGCCTTCCCTCAAGAACACGACTCTCAAGAGAAAGAAGACCCACACAGATAGCACAGGGATTTGGGGGGAAACCTTGCTCAGAGGAGACCAGGGATCGACTGAGGTTTACTGGGCTTTCGCTCCATTCTTCTGCTGAGGCAGGGGGTTCCTGGACGCCCGTGCCCCCCCTGTGGAAAGTTGGCGGCTTTTAAAATTGATTATTAACGTGACCACAGACTCACAGGTCCATCTTGTGCAGCTGTAGTGCCCTGACAGAGTGAGAGAGCGAAGAGAAACGACTTCAAAATGTAAGAAGTGGTCATTAGGTCCCATATTGTAAGGTTGGGATTTTGAGTCTGAAAAGGCAAAGGGTCATATCCAGGGTTAATTCTACTCAAGAGTTGACACGTTGGAGAGATAACAGACGTGGCTCACTTGGGTGCATTAATTGCAATGGGTCTACTCTTGAGGCCACATCTGCGCTATATTTTTGGTGCCCCGTTACACTGCTTTAGCAGCCATGGCTTCCCCCGCAAGGAATCCTGGGAAACGTAGTTGCCAGGAGGCCCCCTATTCCCCTCACGGAGTGGTTTAGCAATCGATCCCTCCTCCCAGGGAACTCTGGGAATTGTAGCTCTGCAAAGGGATCTCCTGACAACCCATTAAAAAAACACACCAGTTGCCAGGATGCTTTGAGGGAAGAAGACCTGACTGTTTAGTGCTCTCCTATTGTGTTATTGTGCAAATAGGGCCTGAGCAGAACCCACTTGGTTTGGGACCAAATAGTAGGTTTCGAACTCTGGTTTCCAGGATATCCGAGCTTCCTAATGGTTGGTGCATTTCCCTGAAAGTTTGCGCAATCCTATCTTCCCCTGGAATCCGTCGCCATGGAGAAGCCTTGGGCGTGTTCACCTCAGAGCGGAGGTGGAGAGGTGGCGGCAGATCAGGACCTGCTGAGTGATCAATAAAAAGGTCTTGGGTCTGTTTTGTGGCTCATGAGCTCATGCAGTCATTGGCCTGATGTGCTGAGCCGCCATATTGTTGGGACACCAACCACCAGTAACTCAGTTGGACAGGCCTGTATCCAGTGTGGTTTTGGAAGGACTCAGGACTCTTGGTCCCTTCCCAGGATGCCTCAGGGCCAGCCTGGGATTTCGCAGCCTCCATGGCAACCGAGGGACCGACTCGCATGGTCTTCGGCCCAATGCACCCCTCTCGATTTAGTCTTTGCTCCCAGTAGAGAGTGGGATCTGGCTATGATAATGGGGTGCTTTAAATGTTGCCACAGTCCAGTGTTTTTCAAACTCGGGTCTCCCAGTGTTGTTGGACTACAACGTCCATCATCCTTAGCAAGCAGGACTAGTGGCCCAGGATGATGGGAGTTGTAGTCCAACAATACTCTGGCGGGTTTTTCCAGAAGATATTGCTGGCGATCCTTTTGAGTCCCTGGCCTCGCTCTTGGGTGATGAAATGAGGATAAATCTTGATTTTATCAAGTCTGAATTATTGCAACGTGCTGAATGTGTGTGGAGGCTCCAGACACAGAATTCACTTTATTAAAAACTGAGGGTTTTATGTGTGTTTTTTAAACCCAAGTTTCTAGCCTTTAAGGCTGAGAAGAAAGGCTTGAAAGTTGATGGTCAATTCTTGTCTGAATTAGGGGGCAAGGCTTGAGTTGGCTTTCAAGCTTAATTTCCGTAATTCACACAGATCTCAGTATTCAGCATTCTTTGCTGCATTCATTTTTTTTTTTAAATTACAGGGGTACCTTGGTTTTTGAACATCTCCGTTGCCCAACATTTCAGTTTTCAAACCCCAAAAACCCGGAAATAAATGCTTCCATTTTCAAATGAGCCTCGGAAGTCGAACGGCTTCTGCTGCGTGTATCTGTTGTTTTTCACAATTTTCTCTATTGAATTGGCAGGCCGCTCTTTGCGCCTCAGTTTTTGAACATTTCGGAAGTCGAACGGTCTTCCGGAATGGATTACGTTTGAAAACCGAGGTACCACTGCACTTGGAAAACACAAAACGCAACAGACGTAGCATGGGAGCTCGCTGGAGCAAGGAGAAGTAAACTCTTGAGAGGTTGGAGCATGGGTAGGCAAACTAAGGCCTGGGGGCCGGATCTGGCCCAATCTGGCCCTCAGAAGGTCCGGGAATCAGTG